CCAAACTTGGGGGCGGCAGCACTTTACCCTGTGACCTCACTTCTCTGAAGGATCTAAAAAGGATTGTTAATCTTTCCGTTTGTTCAGCTTTTCACTTGTAATTAGGATGGAGTGACCATATTTCTAAGTTCCTTAAATACTGAACCCTTCTCTGATGTTTTGTTTTGTTTACAACCTTTGATTTCATGGCTGCAGTACAAAACTGAAACATGACAGTTATAAATATCTTTATAATCTTAAGATTAGGAAGAATTTTTAAAACAAGACAAAAGCATGAACTATTAAAAAAAGGTATATAACCTTTTATATGCCAGAAAAGGGCAATACCAATATTTTCAACTGTTAATTTTAACATTAAGACAGCTCATCTCTCTTCCACATGGCATCATTTGGGGTGGCTCAGTTGGGGCTGGAGGATCCAATTCCAGGATTCACTCACATGGTAGCAAAATTGGTGCTGGCTGTTGGCCTCTCCAAAGGGTAGCTTGGGCTTCCTCACACCATGGTTGCTGCATTCCAAGAGCAAGTGTCCCAAGAGACAGGAAGTGGAAACTTCCATTTTCATAAAACTTAAGCCCCAAAATTAGCATAGCATCATTTTCACCATATTCTACTGACTAAGCAGTCACAGAGCTCAGATTCAAGAAAACAGACCCTACTCCTCTATGAGAAGAGGGTCAAAGAATTATGGAACATTTTAAAACCACTTCACTCTACTCCCTGAACATAAATTATTACATTTTTCCTACTTGGGAAATTTACTCTTCTTGCAAGATTCTTCATTAAAGTTCCATCCCCTTATAACTCTTGATCCTAGGATTGCATTATCTAAATCAGATCCAGGAGCAAATGAAACCTCTCGGGTGCAGATTCTCGAGTGTAATAGCTCCTTGAGTATAATTCTTCTCAATCTGAAGGTCTGTGAACTAACAAACAACATTGTCTACTTCCCACATACCCAGCATACAATGGTGGGACAGGCATCAGATAACTTATAGATAAACACTCGTTTAAGAGGGAGCAGTCGCTGGTCTATAGAAATTTTGAAATCCAACTGGGCACATGTTGCCAGTTTCTTAACTAGATCCAGTATTGCTTTCCTGGGGTGGTTTTCCATGGGTCTTAGTTTTGTCTTCTGAGTCATCCTTCCTTTTCTATAGGAAAACTGAGATTGCTTTCTTGGTCTTCATCCCATCTTTGAAAGGTTTGGGTCTTAAAGGACTCTTTTCATTTTGTGCCATTTCTGTCCCTTTTAGTCTGAGCTGGCAGTGCTTCCACCAGAATGATTCTCTTAGAAACTTGAGGGGTTTTCTATGAATATTGTTGAGATTTGAGATTTCCTTCATTAGACACACCTCAGATCTTTTGAAGATAAGCCCTTCTCTACTTCAGGCTTCCTATATGGCTGCTATGAGACAATGCACTTGAGATTCTTAAACTTACCGTTTAAGGGAAAGAATCTGCAAAACTGGCCCTTAAGATTCTTAAAGGGCCTTTTGGTCAGAAAGAGTATGAAGCATAGTCTTAATCATTCTGGCCCCTTTAAATATTTTATTGCCCCATTCTGGATTTGACCCTTTCTTAATTTAGAACTGTTTGTCTTCTGGAAGGACTGGAAATGAGAAGCACATGTGGACTCTTGAATCCTGGGCTTTTTTATTTTTAATGTTTTTTTTTTTTTTTTAAGCTTATCTCTCTCATTTTGCATTTTTTATCATAGGCAGTCAGAAGCCACCTGGCACTTTCATTACTTTGTCTGGAAATCTCTAGCTTTTTTTCTGAGTCCTCCAGCTGCATTTACTTCCTGGTTCCAGGTTACTGAAGGTGACAGTGTTGTCAGACTCTAACTCACTACCTAGCAAGTGTCTCCCGTCCTCCATCTTCCAATAAGGTTTTCCCACTTGCCTTAAGCTCTCACTGGCAGCCTCCCCAAAACCTGTAGGCGTCCATTCTCACATTTCTAAGAGAATCATTCTGGTGGAAGCATTGTCAGGGTAGACTAATGGGGATAGAGATGGTACAAAAGGAAAAGAATCCTTTGACCCCCAACCCTTTATAGGCTTCTCTTCAAGCCCCTTTATGCTTTCACTCATACCCTTTCTGGGGCCTTTATTGCTTCTTTCTGCTTCCCCAGTCCCAAAGCCAGTGCCATGTATGTTGGGCTTTTGTTAATGCGGCACCCTTTTTCTGGTATCACAACCCTTTCCAGTAATCTTTTGCTCCATGGCAAACCACCACCAAACTTCATGGCTTAAAACAACAGTGTGGGCTAGGTGGCAGTCACTTGTATCTTTTCCATGCCGTGTCAACTGAGATGGCTTGACTAGGATTGGAGGACCCCCTTACACTGTGTGGCTGACAAGTGGGTTTTGGCTGTTGATTTCTCTCCACATAGGCCTCTCCACAGGGTGGCTTTGCCTCTTCACACATGGTAGTTGGGTTCTGAGAGTGGATGTCTAAAGAAAGAGGACATGGAAACTGTCAGCTTCTTAGTTAAACCTGGGCCCAGAAACTGGCACAGTGTCATTTCTACATAGTCTGTTGGTCAAGTGCCACAGAGTTTGATGAAAGAGTTGTCAAAGGTTTGGGAGCCATGTCTTTATTTATTAATTTATTTAATTGTTGTTGTTGGTGGTGGTGGAGGGAGCCACATTTTTAAACTGCCACGGTCTTCTAAAGGTTTTATAGTTCAGGGGTGTCTGGGTGGCTCAGTCAGTAAAGCGTCTGCCTTCAGCTCAGGTCATGATCTTGGAGTCATGGGATTGAGCCCCACAAAAGTCGGGCTCCCTGCCCAGTGGGGAGTCTGCTGGAGATTCTCTCTCCCTCTGCCCCTTCCCCCCACTCATGCTTGCTCACTCTCACCCTGTCTCTCTCAAATAAGTCTTTAAAGAAAATAAAGGTTTTATAGATTGCCTTTTATATTTCACCCTTTAATCCATGTAGAATTTCTTTTTTATAGTCATCACTGGACTGCTTTTAATTTTTCCCTTTCATGTGTTTTAATTAAGTAAAATTTACATGCAGTGAAATGTACATATCTTAATGTATAATTAGATGAGTTTTAATCTGTGTAAGCACCATGTAAACACAACCCCAGTCAAGATAAAAGTCATTTCTACCCCCCACCCCAGAAGTTACATCATGCCTCCTTATGGTCAGTCTTCTTTCCTAACTTTATTCTGATTTCTATCCCTGGAGATTGGATTTTCCTATTCTTGAACTTAATATATGAATGGAATTATACTATATGTACCTTTTGTATCTGGTTTCTTCCACTAAAATTAACGTTTTGAGAAGCACGCTATCAATAGTTCACTCTTTAGTACCGCTCTGCTATTTCCATAAATGAATATGCCATAATTTGTATATGTGTCCTCTTGTTGATGGACATTTGGGGTGATTCTAGTTTTAGGCTGTTACGACTTAAGCTGCTATGAACATTCTTATGGCTACGAACATTCTTTTCGTAGATCTAGGTCTTCGTTTATTTTCACTACTCTTCTTGGCTCTTTGGGAGTTCCTACATTTTTACTTGTTCTGTTTTCAGTGAAGGAGTCATGTCATGACATGCAAGTCCTAGCTATTACTTAACAGAGGTCACCCAGTCCTTCTTTCATTAGATCTGCCTTCACACCCACCTCCAGGGACAAATGCCCATTCTTGGGCCTTTTGTGAATTAGAAGATGACACAGCTGGTTTCTCATCTTTGCCCATTCTTAGTTAAGGATTTGGCTTTCTTGGGTCTGCTTGGCCAATTGCTACTTTGCTTATCTGCTCTCTAGCTTCCAAAATTTTAAGCTGACTCCTTTATTGTCTGGCTCATTTTGGAGAGTTTTAGGAGAAAACGGAGTTGAAGGCATATTTCAGTTCATCTTGCTTACCCTCTACTCTTTCCCTTTCTCACCTTCCACACCCTGCCTTTCTCTTACTATTTTTCATTTCCTTCTCTCCATCTTGCTTTCCCTTCGAAAGAGGTGAGGAGTCCTCAGACAGCATGTGGCTCAGCGCCCTCACTTTACAGAGGCTAAAGCCGTGGCCCCACGGACGAGGACGGCCGTCCGTCCCCAGCCAACGCAGCTTCCACTCTTAACTCTTTCACCTTTAATAGCAAGAAAGACCTTTTGCCCACCTGTTCCTCTTTCAGTTAGTGATCCATGGCAGTGTGAGAAAGCAGAGTGCCCTGCTCGAGTGGGGCCTGGAAGGCCCATCAGAAGAGAGAAGGTCATGGCTGACCAGGCTGCCGTGGGTCCTCTCCAGAGAACAAAGCAGCAGCTCTGTGGCAGACCGCCTCTCACTCCTGAGCCCCCTCTGCTCCCTACCTAGCCCCGTGCCAGGAAGAGGGCTGCAGTAGGAGAGCGCCCAGCTGGCGTGACTGGAGGAACTACTAAAGCAAACGACGCTGTCTAACTGGGCCCCTAGGCTCTTTCTGTGCTTTTCTTCATTGCCGTATTGGTCTGTTTTACTACATTCTTTGGGCTTGAGTGTTAATAAAGAAGAGAACAAAGCAACTCCAAGGCCCAGAACAGAAACCAAGGCAGGTGACCTGTGGTGTGACCATTCTAAGTGCAAGGCCAAAGACACACCAGCACGCTCTGGCTGACAGTGCCGGGGACCCGACCTCTCCTTACACAGCATGAGAGATCCAAGGAATGTGTGAGGTGACTGAGTCCTGAAAATGAAAGGACATACATCCGGGGAATTGTTTAGATGCCCTGTTCAGCGCAAGGAAGACAAAGTACAAGTTCTGTGCCTTGGCTTTTGGTCTGGGCTGTCCTTCCAGCAGGCTGTGTTCCCAGAGCCTGTGGTCATGCAACTTGGGCTGGTTGCAGCTGGACACAGCCACCCTCTGCCCCCCCTCCCCGCAGTGTTTCACCAGCCTGGCAGCTGGGAATCCTGCTAGGGACCAGAGCCCAGAGTGTGCGAGACAGAAGAGAGCACTGTTACGTCACTTCTGTACCCTGGGCGCTTTCTAAGCAGCTTTGACTCTTTGTCTCCTGCAGTTTGTATTTACTTGAACAAGAATGGCAGCCCCGGCCCCCACTTAGATAAGAAGAAGGTCCAGCTGCTCCCCGACCATTTTGGGCCGGCCCGCGCCTCCGTGGTGCTGCAGCAGGCCGTCCAGGCTTGCATCGACTGTGCGTACCACCAGAAAACCGTCTTCAGCTTCCTCAAACAGGGCCACGGTGGCGAAGTAATCTCAGGTAAGCCCCCTGGGGCTGGTGCGGCCACCTGGCCAAGGGGGGCAGGCCTTCTCCAGGGGGAGATTTCTGGCAAGGCCTCCTCGTTCCTACTTCATGCCTGTAGGCTCTGGAGACATGGGAAGGGATTCCATTCCTCCAAGAGTCCTCCTTTTCGACTCCCAGAACCCCTCTGAGCCTTATGCACGCCTGTGCCAAGTAGAATACCTCCTGTCCTGTCTCCCGGCTCGGCCTCTGCATACCGGAAGTAGATGTGTATTGCTGTAAAGGCATTCCAGAAGAATCCAGAGGGGCTGCACTGTGGCAACAGGAGCTTCTCCAGACTGCCACAGCCTCCCACCTGGCCTCCGGGGACCACAGGACTCTTATGTTCTTGGACTCTTTAGCCGTCCTGTCCTACGCCAGCCTTGTTACAAGGAAGTTGAATCCCAGGGCAGAGTGGGAAACACCATTCCCTCTGTCTCTCCTGCTCTGTCTGATTCAACTGCACTGTGTTTTTTGTTTCCACTGAGAATATCCACTTTTCCTGCCGTGTCCTGGTTCTGTTTCAATGTTGCCAAGTCCAGAACCCCACTCCTTACCCGCCAAACCTATGAAGACTTGACCTGCAGCCCTTCAGTCTCAAGTGCAGGACACTGCTTGGTCTCCCACCCCTCCCCGCTAACGAGGTGTAGCATCCGGCCTCAGGAGCCCCACTGACATAGAAGACCCCAGGAGTCCCTGCATTCTTGTAGAAGACCCCATAAATAACTGTATTTTGTTAGCACACCTTCAGTGAGCCTTTATTATATGCCAGAGGCCGTTGCCAGGCCCTGGCCAGGGGAGGGGGAGGAGAGATGACAGGTGAGAGGTGTTCTGATGTGTGAGAAATGTGTACAGGTGGTGTGGGAACGCAGGCAAGGGAGCAGTTGGCTGTGTGGAGGATGCGGGCAGGCATGGAAGGCATTTTGCTAGAAGGCTGAGGACTGCTGGGAAATCAAGCCTGCCTTTCCTTGTGAGGCCAAGGCTTCTGTGCGGTAGTCTGCAGGGACCCGGCCTCCTCTGCTGCCTCTGTGGAGTTGCTGTTATACCCACACCTTCTCTAGGGTTCTTCTGCCCCAAAACTGGTTCCTGGGAATGGCCTATCTCCCCATTTCCTTGCTGCCCTCAGAGACAAATGCAAAGGCCTTCTGCTTTGTAAGGATTATGCAGATACTTCTTGAATAGAAATAGATAAGGAGTAAAATAAAACCAAGCGTGGAACGGTTCCAAATGTTGCTGAAACTCTAGTGCCCTCCTAAAGATCAGATCGTGCACCTAAACCATTGCTGGCAACGCTGTATTCTGCTCGTCTGCCTAGCTTCTCTGTTCCTGGGCAGTTCTTAATGGAAAGAAAACCCGAAATGAGCAGATTTCCTGGAGGAGGCCCTGCCAACTGATGGAGCAGATAGAGTTATGTTCACAGTTGTTTTCACAAGTTGAGTAAAATCACTTCAGAGCCCCAGTGCAACAGACCTGGCCTGGCCACTCCCATTACAGCAAGCCCTTTGGAATTGGAGGCAAAAATCAAACCCTTGAGGGAGGGAGGGGAAGGGAGGGAGGGACAACCTGGGTACTGATTGCTTTGTGTAACAAGGTAAGCCAGAGGCAAATGGTGGGCTGGGCTCCTCCTGCCCTGCGCTGCCCTGCACTGCCAGGCTGACGTGCTCAGCCCTGTTTCCTTAATTCCACAGCCGTGTTTGACCGTGAACAGCACACTCTCAACCTCCCAGCAGTCAACAGCATCACCTACGTCCTGCGCTTCCTGGAGAAACTCTGCCACAACCTTCGCAGTGACAATCTGTTTGGCAACCAGCCCTTTACACAGACCCACTTGCCACTCACCACCACCGAGTACGGCCACAGCCGCGACAGGTACCTACCAGGTAGGAGCTGGGATGGGGCCTGGGCTAGGAACGGGCCACAGGGCTGGTCGCCGCGCCAGCCAGGGCCCAGGGCCGGCCCTTACGCCTGCCAGCACGGGACTCCTCCATCTCTTCCCAACTCTGCTCTCTCCAGGGTTTTGTCTCCTCTCTCTAGGGTTAACCTTCTGTCCCCTAGAAAACAGTGGTTCACAGTTCCCTTTCCGAGCCCCACGCGGCCTGTGGAGCCACCCTGAAGTCACAGCACCCCTCCCCGTGTGAAGCCGGCAGCCAAGGCCTGAGGGAGCTCCCCCTTGCCAACAGGAAGGTTTAGTCTCAGGCTACAGATTGAGAAATGTGCTCCCCAGTGATTGGCCGTCTGCTCTTTCCTTTGGCGCGTGGCCCCAGCTCCGCCAGCACTGCCTGTCTAGCAAGTCATTTCAAGTTCCTGCCATCACGACCCGTGCTGGAAAATAGCTCTCCCAGTTAGCAGAGCAGACCCACAGCGGGAAAGCGGCAGCCACGTGGCCGGGGCCAGATCAGTGACTAAGCACTTCCGAGAGGGGTACGGAGGGAAGGGAACCAAGCATCGCTCATCTGGAGCCCGGGACCCAGCACGACAGGGAGGGGAGCCGAGCTCAACCCCGCACATAGCGAGGTAGGTGGCTGTGGAGAGAGGGAGCAAAGGCCCTTAAGACGAGTCCCAGGGACCTTTCCTGGGCGGAGGAGCAGAGAGCTGGTGCACTCAGTGCTGGGGCCATGCTGCCTGTTGGTGAGGGAGCCGAAGTCTGATGGGTGTCTCTGAGTCTAGTTCCCACACTGCCTCCTCCAGTGTCTTTTTACCATTGTCTTAACTCATTCCTTCTAGAAGTGCCACTTCTCGAGAACGTGCCTGGGGAAGTAACTGCTCACCCAGCTCCCCCGCATGGCCACTATCTAGACCTCTGCACCCCCATGAGCACTGCTCTTATGACTTGGTACAGGGCAAAAAGATAACCTGAATTTCAAATACTCCTTGACAGGGCCACACCGGTCTGGTCCCGCAGATGTGTCTGTGTCCCCCTCACTGCTCCATTTCTTGGGAGGCAATTTCTGTAACCTGCTCTCCTGCTTGCTCTCATATCAGAATCTGAGAACAGAATAATACGTTCTTAACGTGTTGCACTGGGGGTCAGGGCTGGGCATGGCAGCAGTGGGGACAAAGGCAGGTGGCCTTCAGGAACTCTGAGCTGCACTCAGGAATAAAAGTGAGGCCTCCCTGAGCTTCTGGAAGAATGGATACATGAGAGGGGGTAGTGTACACAAGGCTAGCTGCTAGTCTACAGACAGATTTCTCCAAGACCCAGGACCCCAGAATTCTTCAGTGGAGTGGCAGCATTAAGAACGAAGAGAATCGTACTGGTAACAGTGTGCCGAGACCAGCAGGGCTGTGCCCACTGGGCCTGCAGTCATGGAGGGAGTTTGGAATTGAAGCCTGAGGTTTCCTGGGAATTCTGTTGCAGCTTGCAGCTCTCTGATTCAGCTACCAGATGGGAGGAAGCAAGCTTTAGCCACTCTGTCCTCTTACCTCACCAGCTAAGAGACAAAGACCAGGTTATCACATTTCACCATCGGCTGCCCCTCTCCCTGCCCGCATTTTCAGACCAATTCAGCCAACTTTCTGGGCCTTCCTGTGCTCACTCTCTCTCAACTTCTATGTCCCATCCTGGGTGCTAGCAACTTGGCTGCCCTCCCCCCAGTTTCTGTTTGCTTCCCTGAAGTGAGTGTTCTCATTGTGCCCAGACAAGCCAGAGCTTTGCCTAGATTTCTCACTCCTCTGTGCTCCTTAGCCTGTCTTTCCCACCTGCCTGCCTGGCTGCCTTCCTGACCCTTTGCTCCAGCTCTGATCATCTATCAATTCCTGTGCTTTCCTGATGACTTACCCCCGCCTCTGCCAAAGAGCCTGATCTGCACAGGGCCCCCTTTTGCTTTGTCCCTTGGATCTGGGGTCTGTCACTCCCACCCTTCTGCCCGGCTACACAGTTCTGCTAGTTCAGCATCCAAAGCTGCCTCCTCTCTTATCTGGATACTTACGGAGCCTCCCTCTCCCCTGCCCTACAGCTTGTCTCCACACTTCCCAGGCCCTAGGGTCATGCACTTCTGGTATAGCAGATAGTGACCAAAGGCAGAGCCCATTAGACCTCCTCACCTAAGGTGAGATTGGACTTTTTCCTCCAGTGTTTTATTTTGAAAAACTTCAACCCTACAAAAAAGAGGTACAAATAATGGTGAGCAGCCATGCACTCTTCATCTAGAGTTACCACTTCCCTTTTTGCAATATTTACCATACCTGTTCTCTAAGTCTGCGTATTCTTATTTATTGAACCATTTGAGAGTTACCTGCAGATGAGAGACTCGATCCTTAATAAACTTGCCTGTGTATCTCCTAGGAGCAGGGAACACAATAACGTTCTCTCACTCAAGAAATTTAACATCGGGGCACCTGGGTGGCTCAGTCGGTTAAGCCTCTGCCTTCGGCTCAGGTCATGATCCCAGGGTCCTGGGTTTGAGCCCCACATTGGGCTCCCTGCTCAGTGGGGAGTCTCCTGCTCCCTCTCCCTCTGCTGCTCCCCCTGCTTGTGCGCTTACTGTCAATCTCTCTCTCTCTCATAAATGAATAAAATTTTTGAAAAAGGAAATTTAATAAAATTTACCAGTTGATATATATAGTCCTGTCAGGTTTCCCCAGTTGTCCGAATAATGTCATTTTAGCTGTTTTTCCCCTAATCCAAGATCTAATGAAGGACCATCCACTACATGCAGTTGTTCTCTTTACTTCCCTTTTATCTACAGCAGTTTTCCAGACTCTGTTTTCTACCTTCCATGACATGACATGGGCATTTGGAAAGTGCAGGCCAGCTGTCAGATACCCCGTGCCAGCTGCTGTGCTGGCCTCTGGGGAGCCAGAGGCGCAACCGACTCCATGCCCGCTCCGAAAGCACGTCTGCGGGGAGAGGGGTACAGGGTGCCGTGCGTGTGCTGTGAGCCAGGAGGGACGATGAGCAGGGTGAAAGAAGAGGTCTAGCAGTGTTCCTGGGGGACACAGTGTCAGATTAGGGTCGCTTCTTCAGAGCTCCCTGCAGGGCCGTGTCAGCTGAGAGGCCCCTGAGGGTTGGGCGAGAGCACGCTCCTTCCGGCCCTCAGAACTGACAGCGGGAGACGGAGGCGGCTCATTTAGCTGGTCTCAGGGACTCTTCTCTCGGCTGTAACTGAGACCACCCAGCATGCCCCTCCAGGTCTGCTGCCTGGGGCCTGCCCACATTCCTCTCTGCCGGAGGAACGGGTCCATTCAGCCCATGGCAGTAAGTTCCGCAGCCCTATCGTTCTGGTTGCCAGCCTGGTCTTCTGGGCATATAAACTGGTTCTCCCGCCCAAATCCTAAAATTCACAGGATTAAAGCCAAATAACAGTGAGATCTGTTAGGATGCCCCCTCTTCCCCATGCTGGGTTTCCTGGTGGAATGGTCAGAGTTCTAAGATGACACAAATGTTCATAATAATAGATGTTCATGAGTCCTTTATTCAGTCAGTCTGTCAACCCAGAATTTATTGGCTGCATGACACCAAGCTCTGGTTTACGCACAGAGGGTCCCGTAGTAAACTAGGAGTCCAGGTCCTTCCATGCGGACTTTACAGCCTGGTGAAGAGGAGCAAATAAGCAAACAGCTCATTTGTGGTGATACGTACTTTCACAGGACGAGTTCAGAGTTCAAAAGTTCAAACCAGATGTCAGGGAAGACTTTCCAGGAGAAAGTCTTGGACCTGAAGGAGCAGGATAACCAGGTGAAGATGCCACAGACCCAAGGCGATGGAGGGAGGGGTGTGATGAAGAATGCGCCAGCTGACTGAATAGCCTGTGAGACCGGCAGGGACAAAGGGGAGCACACCCCGCGTCAGAGGAACCGGAGGCTCGTGGGAGACGGGGCTGCAGTGCAAGCGGCAGCCCAGTGGGAAAAGCTAACTGACCACATTAGTGGCTTTGTATCACTGAGCAGTGAGGACCCAGGGAAGGGCCACAGCCAGGCCTGTGCTTCCGAGAGGTGGCTCAGGGCCCCGTGCGGGAGAATGGATGGGTGTGGAGCGACCCAGTAGGCAGGGAGACCAGCTGGAGGTTTGTGTGGGACTCTGTGAGTCCTCTTAGATTTGGGGATAGTCCTTTCCTTCAGTATCCACATCTAAATAACAAAATGAATTCCCACCCCACATAATCCAGACTAGGTTTCCTGCTCTGACTCCGTTCTTATTCCCTCTTTCCCTGACCACTCTCCTAGCTGACCATCTCTCCCTAAGCTGCTTTACCCCAAACATTTGATCTGGTTCCCCGGCCTTCATTTCCCTAAGGAGAAACGAATACAAGGCTATCGACTGTGATAAACTTATACTGAAGTTTGGGCGGGGGAAGGAATTGCCACAAAGAACAGTAAGCATTTTAACATTTTTGTTTTATCTTAATATTTGTCAGTGAGGTGCCTGTGCAGCTCAGTTGGTCAAGCTGTTCACTCTTGATTTCGGCTCAAGTCATAATCCCGGGTCATGGGATCCAGCCCTGCATCAGGCTCTACGCTCAGCAGGGAGTCTGCTTGAGATTCTCCCTCTCCCCCCTCCAAGTTGTGCACACTCTCTTGCTCTCTCGCTCTTGCTCTCTCTCTCTCTTAAAAACAAAACAAAACAAAAAAAACTTTGTGTTAATGCTTATAAGCTGTTACAGGATGTATCTTACCAGCCTCTTTCACCTTGGACCTCAGCCTGCTGCCATTTCTGGGACCCACTCTGGGTTTGGGGCATTTTCTCCTCTGTTCTCTATTCCTTTCATCCCATACTTCCTCCTTTTCCAGCTACCAGCAGATAACTCCAAATTACTTTATCCTGTATAATAATTGTGTTCCTGTTGGTCTCAGCTTTCCTTGACCTTGTCTTTCATAATCAAAATTATGTAAATATAACAGTGTAATTATATAAATGAAGGAACCAGATCTATACTTTCAGCAACTCAGAGAACAAAGACAAAAGCTATTGGTGGAGAGATTTGTTCCATCTTCCCTCTGTTCTCTTTTTTTCTGCCTTCCTATGGATTAATCCAGTTTTTTTATGATTTTGTTCTATTTCCTTGCTGGCTTATAAGCTATAACTCCTTTATTTTAGTGATTGCTTTAGTTTATGTTATACATTTTTTACATATCACAACCTACCTTAAAGCCATAATCCTATCCCTTTACATATTGTGTAAGAATCTTACACCAGTGTACTTTCACTATCCACCTCCTGGCCTTTGTACTGTTGTCACTGTACATTTTACTGTTCCACATTTTGTAAAACCCATTCTACATTGTTATTATTTTACTTTAAATAGATAATTAACTTTTGTGTGGGGGAAGAGAGAGGTAGGGAGGGGGCAGGAGAAGAGGGAGAGAGAATCCCAGTGTAGGGCTCGATCTCAGGACCCTAATACCACAACCCAAACTGAAATCAAGAGTCAGTCACCTGACCAACTAAGTCACCCACATGCCCCAAAGGTAATTAATTATCTTTTAAAGACTTTTTTTTAACATACAAGAAACATTCTCAATATAAAAGAAAAGATTTTTTTTTTAATTTACCCTTTCATAGTTACCATTTCTGGTACTCTTCATGTTTTCAGTGTAGAGCCAGAGTTTCAGATCCTCTTCCTGCCTGAAGGACTTCCCTTCACATTTCTCCTTTTTATGGCTCTACTGGACACAAAGTCTTTGAGCTTTTGTGTCTCTGAAAAAGTCTTTTTTTAACCTTTGCTTTTGAAAGATACTTTTGCTGAATTTAGAATTGACTTTTTTGTTGTTCAGCACTTTCTTTAAAAGATGTCACCCCATTGTTTTCTGGTTTGCATTGTCTCTGATGAGAAGTCTGCTGTCATTCTTCTCTTTGATTATGTGGGTCCCCCACCCCCACCCCACGGATGCTTTTAAGGTCTTCTGTTTATTCTTGGTTTTTAGCAATTTGATTATGCTATGCTTTGGTGAGGTTTTCTTCATCCCTGTTGTGCTTGCAGTCCACTCAGCTTCTTGGACATGCGGGTTTACAGTTTTTATCAAATTTGAAAAAATGTCTACTATTCTTTCTCCATGTATATTTTCTGTTACCTCTGTTTTGGAGACTCCAATTAAATATATATGAATTTTCTTGAAGTTTTCCCACAGTAATAATGTTTTTTAAAAAAATTTTAGCCTTGGGGCGCCTGGGTGGCTCGTGGGTTAAAGCCTCTGCCTTTGGCTCAGGTCATGATCCCAGGGTCCTGGGATCGAGCCCCACATCGGGCTCTCTGCTCAGCAGGGAGCCTGCTTCCTCCTCTCTCTGCCTGCCTCTCTGCCTACTTGTAATCTCTGTCTGTCAAATAAATAAAATCTGTAAAAAAAAATTTTAGCCTTTTTTTCTGTTTTATTTTGATAAATTCTGTAGCTATGTTTAAGTTAGCTAATCTTTTCTTCTGTATTGTCTGATCTACTCTTAATCTATCTCAATGTATTCATCTCAGACCTTGTGTTTTCATGGACACTTCTGATGGTTAAAATGCCCTCCCTTTTGAACCAAAATCTGTCTTCTTGTAATTCCTGCCCTGTGTTTTACTCTCTGCTTTTCAAAAGACCCAGTCTACGGCCCAGTTCTCTTCCTTTTCCATGACTGCCCTTGGGGTATTTGTCTCCCCTGACTTTTCTGTGGACTGCACATTCCCAGGCTCTTTCTCCTTTGCATAATTTCTAGACTTCTCCCCACCAGTTTTGCCATCCTCCCCTGGGAACTCTAGTTTTTAAGGTAGCCTTGCAAGGTGATAGAGAAAAATCTGCTTCTCGCTAAAAATCAGTGCGTAAGGAAAGGTCCTTACCTGTCTCCTTCTGCGTACCCCTCCCTAGCATAGCAGCTAGTACATGAACGTGTGTTCAGTGAAGGAATGAGCTCCCTCTCATGCTGACTCTTCTCGTATGTCTAGCACATCCACAGCAAATTTCATTTAAATTGATGTTTAATAAATGTGAAGTTAAGCATCTTGTTACAGATAGCCAACCTGAATCCCAGAAAAAAGGCAGTGATCACTGACCAGTGGTCATGCCAGAAATAGAACTCAAGTCTTTCAGCCCTAAGTTCTGACCCTTGGGCCAGTGGTTGCCAAGTTTCTTTTGTTTTAGCAGCAGAACTCCTTGTTGCAAAGATAAGATTATATGAAAACTCTGGAGCATAAAAGTTAAAACCAGAGCTCTTGTGCTAGCAGCTGGAATGAGGCCCAGAGCCCTATCACTTGGCTTCCCTGCGGAGGCCCTCGGGGCACCATGGAGCACAGCATGAAAGCACTGCAGTCTCCTCCACTGCCCTCGTCTCACTGAGGCAGCTGGGCCCTCGTCTCATCGGCCTTAAGGGCACTGGGACCTGCCAGAGCAGTGGGCATGATGCTGCATCTCTGTGGGAGAGATGTGACGACATTGCCAGTCCAGGCGCCACCCGCCCTGATTGCCAGCCCCTCCACTCAGACTCCAGGTCTCAGCTGCCTTTCCTAGCATCGCTGAGAGCAAGACAGGCTGACTTGCATCAGCAGCCGGGGAGCCCCGGTGCTATCGTGATTCTTCACGTCTGTGACCTCGGGTGAGGCGAGCGGTACTATCCCCAGTGTTTGCCAGGTAAAACGAGGTCTAGAAAGGTGAGGTCGCCCTGCCAGCACACACAGAAACTAGATCTCAGCTTTTCCTTGAGCTATTGCAGAGGACTCGGGTTTGCCCTATAACTCTGAGTGAAGAAGAAATCAAATGACAGCTCCCCACCTTGGTAAATCCGTCTTCTCATTTGATTTCTCAGCAGGACAGAGGGTGATTTCCCCCCTATTTTACAGATGAGGAAGCTGGTGCTGAGAAAACAGACAACTTGCCTGGGATCAAATACTAGTGAAAGGCAGGAGCCCAGGCCTAGAATACAGGCCTCCTGTCGGCTGACTTGAGTGCTTGTTCTTGTCTCAAATGTGGGACCCTGCTGCGGTCATCTTTCCTGGAAAACAGGAATCTGAAAGCTCATCTGCAAAAAGGGGTGGGCTGTGGTTCAGGTGCCCAGAGTTCTCCCTTCAGAACCATTCCTGGGGAAGGGCTTCACCAGTCCCACTCCCTGAGAGAAGGGCCAGCAGCTGTCTCCTGCTTGACTTGCTTTATGCCCCTGGTTACCAGGCAAGTTCAGGTGAGTATTAGAAACTAGTCCCAAAATCCTAAGCCATCTTGCCACAGAGTTCCTACTGTGTGCCAGACAATGTTCTTGACCATAGTGTTGGATCACTTGACCACAGTGAGTCCCAAGCATGACCTAAACAGGCGGCCTCTAAGAAAAACCACAACGCATGCTGGTGTGGCCCAGGCCCCAAGACGCCCTCCACAGGCAGAGACGCTGTGACCAGGGCTGAAGAACTGACCGGATGTGGGTAGAGCCCAGCCATGAGAGGGAGCCTGCTTCAGGTTCTGGAGCGCTGTATTAGGGGCTGCCTGGTGCTGGTCTCCATGGCCCCGCTCTCACCACTGTACGAGCCCGGCTTCCTTGGGGCGTTTCTCTTGAATGAGGCAAAGGAGGGAGAGAACATAGGAGCAGACCCTTCACTTACAGGCCTTTAGTCAGGCATTGAAGAGCATTTCTGAAATGTCCTGCTGGCTGAGAGGGTCACCTTCTAAAGTGCCCTCACGCAAGCAAGTGGATCTCTTCTCCAGAGTCTCTGTCCCCTGCGCTGGCATCTCGTATATAGGGAGGCGGCCTCTTCCTAAAATAGTTCTATTTGTTTTAAGGTTCGCCTTATCCAGAAAAAGCATAAGGACATCCAGACCAGAAGAAACTCCAAAGACCATCTAGTCTGAAAGGAAGAGTCTCTAAGGAGACCCAAGCCCAGAGAGTGGCACTGGCCTTGACCAAGGCCACCTATTGAGAGCCAGAACCATGACTAGTATACAGGCCTCCTGAGACATAGCTGAGGGCTCTGTCCGGCTGCCTCTCGCTCCATCCAGACAGGTACCTGGGAGGCCAGTGCCCTGGAAGTCGTTCCAGGCTAGTTCCTGCTCTAACTCTGGTTTTCCTGTTTTCCAGGTGAGAGCTTTGTCCTGGGGAAGAGTGTGACCCGGTCTTTGGAGCCACACTCAGACTCAATGGACTCTACCTTGAATCCCACCAACCTTGTCAGCAGCTCCCAAAACCTTCGAACCCATGGGTACCGGCCTTTGGTTCCATCCTGCGGCCTCCCGCTGGGTACTGCCTCAGCTGTGCGCCGGCTCTGCTCCAGGGGTAGGCTTACCTGGGATCTCCCACCCTCCTTCCCTCCTTCCCTCCTTCCCTCCTTCCTCAGCGAGCTCTGCTTGCCCCCGCCTGGGAATGGGAGTTTGGCTGGGCTCTAGACTTATATTTGTGCCTGGCTAGGTACCCGGAAGGCAAATGAAGCTCTGGGATTGGCTTGAGAATGGAAGCTGAGAGCCAAAGGCCTAGAGCCAAAGGGGCAGGGAAGGACTCCCCCATTCTTTATTAGCCATTGATTTGAACACCACCTGCCTTTGGCACGGGTAGCAAAAATCAATCAGTTCTTGTCCTCAAGGAGCTCAGTCTTACGAGAGAGAGAAACACTTTCACACATAATTGTAACCATCGTCTTGAGTACAGAGATATGACTTGGGTGGTAGGAAAGGGTGGCAAGAAGGAACACCTAACCCAAGCTGGGGCTCCAGGGGAAGCTTCCTTGAGAAAGTGACACCCTGCCTGCGATTTAAAAGTTGGCCGTGTGAGTGGTGTCCAGGGGTAGTTGGGGAGGGAGAGCTATCCAGGAAGAGCACACGGCAGGAACGAGAGCACAGGTAAGAACTGGTACGGATGGTCTGCATGGAACTCCACGCATTGTGTCATTGCTGAGCATAAAATGCCATAGTGGGACATCAAACAGAAAAGCCTTGAAAGGTCAGGGCTACTTCACAGAGGACCCAAATGCCATGGTAGAGTTTGGAGTGGATCCTGCAGGCAATGTGAAGCTGCTGAAAGGTTTTGATTAGAGGTGAGACCTAAGCAGGTATGTGTTTTGAGTAGCTACCTGACGACTGCGTTGAGGATGCATCTGAGGAAGGACAGCCCAGAGAGACCAGTTAGGGGGTGTAGAGTGGGCCAGACCGGAACAGATGAAGGCCTGGGTTGGGATAGTGGTAGAAGGTTTGTAGAAGAGTGAAGCAATTAAAAAACCATTCACGAGGTAGATTTAATCAGATTTGAGGATTGTGAGAAAGAAGGGAGCAGGAATATCTCCTCAGGTTCTAGATGGGGTGGCGGGGAGATGGTAGTGCATTTGCTGAGAGAGGGAACCAACCTAGAAGAGAAAGAAGGGCAAGGAGACCATGGGCCATCTAGGTGATCTCCAGCAGGCACTGGCTCTGCAGGGCTGATTCTCAGGGAAGAGGGCTGAGCTGAAGATAAACACTGGGGAGTCATCAACATATAGATGGTAGTTGAAGCTGTAGGGTAAATGACCAGGAGTATATGTGTAGAAGGAAAAGAACAATTGACCAAAGATGGCGTCCTGGGGACCAGCAAAGTTCAGGAAGTGGGAATAGGAAGAGGATCCCAGAAGGAGACCAAGGAGTCGTCAAATGTGAGGAGAAACAGAATCTGATATTGTGGTGGCCAGGATCAGAGAGAGTATTTTAAGGAGAGAGCAGCATAACAGAGGTTTGGTGAGACGAGGACTGTCAGCTGTCCGTGGGATGTGGTGATGAGTGGGTGACTGACGACCCCAGCAGCAGCAGCTTCAGTGGCGGTAGAAGGCAATGAGGACAGATTGCACGGTGGGGTGTGAGGGAGGGTTTGAGAAAAAGAAAACTAGAGACCTTCCAAGGGAGGTCTTCAAGAGAAGGAGCGCACTGGGCGTGTTTATCAGCAGACAAGTTGAGCCTTCCAAGGAGAAATGAAGCCTACCAGAGAGAGGAGAGAGTAAGGTGTGGCTGTGGTGGGAAGGCTTAGGGATCAAGGGCATAGAGAGATGGGTCAGTCTGAAGCCGTATTCTCTGAGACCGGAGGGAAGACTGTTGGTGGCCATGAGTGAAAGGAGAGAGGGCCACGTAGGGAAGAGCTTAGGGGTGCTCGCAGAGTGGACTGGTCCAGAGAAGATGGGGGAGTGGAGTGAGAAGAAGGGAATGGTCTGCGGGAAACTCCAAAGCCCAGCTGTGTTTGAAGACTAGATTGCCATTTTGCAAGAGACGTGGTTTTCTTCTCTGGTTCTTGGTAACCTAGATGTGGGGTGAGAAAAGACTGAGAATTAAAGTTTTCTGTTGAGCTAGATGGGCAAGAGGGCCTGGGTGGGGGAGCATGGGAAAGAGCGATGGAGCTGCGGGGACAGCTGTTTAGGTCATGGGCACTGGAGCTGGGCAGGCTGGGCTAGGAGCACCGCTGGGGCAAGGCTGAAGGATGGGGGAGACTGCAAGTCAGTCTGATGTGCTAAACCTCTCTGTGCAGTGATGGGTTTAGTGGACTGACGTCCAGGGCCGGTGCCCAGATGGGAGGTTGGGGTCAGAGAAAGGGATGTTTAAATGTCTGAAGTGGATTTGTTCCAAGTGATGACAAGAAGCAGACAGCAGCCTTGGCAGGAGGTATTTGAAGTAGAGTGGAGGTGAAGGTCACTAGAGGCAAGGTGGCTGACTGGCGTGTGCCTCTCAGGGTGATGACGGGACCTGGCTGGAGCGCAAGGCAGTGACCAATGTACCAAATGGTCTTCATTTAACAAGGGGTAAAAGCCCAGAGATCTGTAGGCGTAGTGATCAGGAAGAGCAGATGGCTGGGGACTCATCTGGCTTCTGAAGAACATGAGCTTTCATAGGAGAATGGCCTAAAAGCAGCCTTGGAGAGACAGGAAAATGCCACCTCCACACCCATGCTGTGGCCTCCCCCTGCCCCAGGTTCCTTTGACAAGGCCTGCAATAGAGAGAGGTGGTCTCAGGAGACACAATTTTCAGAGAGACTGAGCAGGAGGAGAGGGTGGGAAGAGGCCGGGATACCCCTCCCAGGCCTCACCCCGGCAAGGCAGCGTGGTGCGTGGGGAGCTCTGCAGTCCAGGCAGAGCTGTGAGTTGATTCCCTGCCTCGAGTCTTGAAGGAATCCTCTCACCTCTCAGGCCCCCACCTTCCCCTTGTGTACTAGGGACGTGGTGACAGTCGCCTGGTGTTTTCACAGGAGCGTGACAAGGCTCAGTTGGAAGCAGGGATGTGGGATTATATGGGAAGCTGAATCAATCCCCAGTGAGGACATTACTGTCCTCTCTTGTTAGGACTGCTTCTTGACCGCTGCCTTGTGAGGACTCAGAGCCACTATTGTCCTCAGGGCACTTCTGCTGTCTCTCTGGAATACGGGAGTCTGTTGGCCCGGTCATGGTCTAGATCTCTTTTGATCCTGAAGAACCTCATAAGGCTATGAAAGAGTCTTTCTGTTTGGTGCTGGAAGTGTTCTCTCAAAGCATTCAGCTGTTGAGTCTGTCCGCTCCTGTTTCATTCATGGAGGATGAGTAGGCACCAGTGTGTGAGTCTGGCCTCCTGCCTTAGCCGTGCCGCTCCTGTCTTAGGCACTCTCAGACTGAGACCCTTGCCTTCCTTGAGGAGCAATGACCAGCTGCACTCATCTGGCATGAGGGAGAGTCCCGGTGTAGACCGTGCAGAAACCAGGATAGGAAGAGCCAGACCTGGGGCACTGACTTGTCATCTTCCTAGCTGTGTGGTCTTGGGAAAGTCACTTCACTTCTCTGGGCCTCGGTTCCCTCATCTCTAAAGTGAAGATGATGCTGCCTCCTCCAAGGGCTATTTAATTTTTTTATAAACATATAATGTATTATTAGCTTCAAGGGCTATTTTAAGGGGCAAACAAGCTGCCAGTGGGAGGGTTTCCTTATAATGTTCACATGCCAGACCCCCTTCCCCACACTCACTGCTGCCACCTGGGGTGGGCCACAGCCGTCTCTTGTCTGGACAGAGAGAGCGGCGGACTGGTCTCCCTTCTGCCCTTGCCCAGAGTCTGCGTCTGTTTCCAGCACGGACTGAGAGTGCTTTCTTCCCTTGTAAGCCGGTTCAAGACACTCCTCTGCCCTCTGCTCCACGACCCATGGCACAGGAAGTCAGTGGTTTTTCAGTGGTACACAAGGTCCTCTGTGACCCGCACCACCATGCCCCCCCACACACCCTCTCAGATATTATCTCCTATCCCTCTCTCTTCTTTCGCTCCCTCTGGCCTGCTGGCCACTCTCATGCCTCAGGGTCTTTGCTCAAGCGTCCCCATCTCAGAGATGTCTCTCCCAACCCACCACCTGCCCTCCTAGAGTATGTGTTCTAACAGAAGAAGGCTGACAAACTCATTAAATATTTATGTATAAATATGTATAAATGTATATATTTTGTTTTATTTTTATAATTTTTTAATAATTTCATAATATTTTATTTTTATTTTTTATATATTTTACTTATATATATTTATATATAAATTTGTATACATTTATACATATTTATACATCTACATAGATCTGTATACATAGATCTAGATACATAATAGATACGTAGATACAGATATCTAAAACATCATGGTGCGTGTGTTTGATTCATAGCTCCCCTGGGTGGAGGAAGTGCCTGAGATGGGCCGAGTGTATCTTCTCTCTGCTCCCCACCATCCCTGCCGCTGCTTTCTCTGGGCACGTCACGGTGGACGGTTAGGGCCTGGAGAAGTGGCTGGCTCACAGAGCCCTCTCCCACTTCCTGTCGCCACTGCCCCTAAAAAGCCATCAGAATTTCTGTGGCTGTAAGCACCCTGCTTGTTCCAGCATCTTCCCCCCCCGCGTCTGTCGGTGCCAGCTCTGAGTCTGAAATGTGATGTGCTGGAGTCACTTCCCCAGGGAGCAGGGCCGGGCCAAGGCAAGCGTGCTTCGACCTTTAGAGCTGGGACCCAGAGTGAAGGGAAATGGAGGAGCCTTTGCAAGAGACAGTTGAAGAGTACGCCCTGCTGCTTTTGTAGGCATGGTTCAGCTCACCGCTCAGCTGTGCACCTGGCGTCTCCTGAGTGGGGAGCATACAGACAGGAGCCAGGCAAGGTCCCTGCCTCAAAGCAGACGTAGTCCGGCCAGGGAGACAGCAAAGTGCACAAGTAGCTATTATGTGTGTGACCCTCCACTTAGAGAGCAAACCTGTTGGGACACCTACCGTGGCAGACCAGGCATCCTTTGCATGTTGGGGACTGTGAAGGAGCAACCTGCCCCCTCCCGCTACTCAACAGGACCTCACCCCGACACCGGACAGTTGGTGTCTCCACACACCCAGCAGTTGTGCCACACCCCCTGGGGGGCTGACAGCTTAACTCCATCCTGAATCCATCTGGAGACAGCGTCCTATCCCACCAGCCTGCCCCCCACCCCATGCCACTTCAGATGGGACAGTCTGTCACCTGGGCTTCTGACTGGCTGGCAGGCAGGGGTTCCCACCATCTCCTCCTCGGGTGCACTCAGGAAAATGGGTACTTACTAGGTTACCAGCTTTTTATGAAAGGATACAAGTCAGGAACAGCCAGTGGAAGAGCTGCCCAGAGCAAGGTCTATGGGAGGGGGCACGCCATGTCTAGGGGTGCCAAGCCCCCCACACCTGAGTGCTCACCAACGGGGTGCTCTCCAAACCCCATCCTTTTTTTTTTTTTTATGGAACCTTCATTACACAGGCACAATTGATGAAGTCATTGATGACTCTCTCCCAGGAAGATTGGCAACCAGCCCCCATCCTTAAGGGCTTTCCAGAACTCACCTCCTGAACATACTCAGGTGTGGCTGAAAAGGGCTTGTTATAAATAACAAAAGACCCCTTTATTTCTCTCACCATTTAGGAAATTCCAAGAATTTGGGGAGCTCTGTGCCAGAAACAGGACAAAGACTACATATGTATGTTTCTTATTAAAAACCATGATATCACAAGGAAATAGCAGGACAGAAAATAGGAGAATACAGACAATAAACATAAATACATGAAATTATTTTAGATAATGGTATGTGATGGGTAAAGGGGAGAGTAATTAGACTGAGAGTAGCTCTGTGGAGAATGGAGTACTTTTACTAGGAGTTCAGTGAAGGTTTCTGAGGAATTGATATTTGAGATAAATATTGAGAAGGAATCAGATATGCAAAGCCCTGGGGAAAGAACGGAGGAGATTGAAGGTCAAAGAATAAGGCATAGCTTGTTCACGAAGCAGAAAGAAAGCTAGTGTGTCTGGAGATGGCGAGAAAGGGATGGGGATAGGGGGTTAAGATGCAGTCAAAGGTAGAAAAGGCCGGATGATGGGAGAACCTTCTAGACCATGCATGGTAAGGAGTTCAGATTTCAGAGAGCCCAGATGGCACAGAGGAAATGGGAGGAACTGGATTTGAGCCAAGAATGAGATAAAAGCTCTAAGCCAAGCCCTGAATTAACACTGAGATTCCTGGCAGCCCAGGCAAAACTGTTTTCAGCCTCTATGCATTATCAGGCTATCCCAAGGTAGCTACTCCCCAGGCCTTGGATGAGACACAGGGTATCATCCACCACTTCTTTTCTCCCTCGACCCCAAGGATTTGGCTCTAATCTTGCCCATCTCCCAAAGTCTCTCCAGAAATGGTCCCCAGGGCCAAGGCAAAAGCAGCCTTACCCCCCAGATCCCCACTGAACCCATGACATCCCCTTACTCGTTGTTACTGCTGACTCAGGTCCAGGCATAACCACAGCCTTACTGTAAAATTCCTTCTGACCCTCTCCAGAATCAGATCTACTCCTAAAGAACAAAGATTTGCCTTCAGAACAGTCTCAGACCCGCATCCCTTTGTGGAAGAATGCTTCCCTCCCTCAGCCACCGCCAGTTCTCTGCTCTGCCCTGGCAGTTCCATCAGCTTCCCCCTAGGGCCGTGGGGACATGCCAAGGAGAGTGGTAGGTATGACAAACCAGTCCCCACCCGTTATGGCAGGTTCCCTCCTGTCCTGCAGGCTCTGACCGCTACCTGGAAAGCCGGGATGCCTCTCGACCGACTGGCCGGGACCCGTCCTCGTGGACAGTGGAGGACGTGATGCAGTTTGTGCGGGAAGCCGACCCTCAGCTTGGACCCCACGCGGACCTCTTTCGCAAACACGTAGGTGCCTCTGCAGGACCTCTCCTGTGTCCACTGGGAGTCTTGCTTCCACAACTTGTAAACTCTTAGAGGTCCGTTTAAACTGAGCACAGGAGACACCCTGAAAACAGAGACAGAATCTTGGGTCTCAAGCAGCCCTCGCTGGGCACCAAATTCAGCCCACTCCTGTAGCGTAGGCCTGACTTGGTCACATGCCTGCTGGGTGCATGGCCAGTGGGCTCAGGCCCAGGGGAAGGACTCTCCTCTTTTCCTAGAAGCTCTTGTTCTCCCATTGGCCTGTCTTGGCCTGAGAATCAGGAGCCTCAGCCCAACTTGGAGTCTCCGGCCAGGTGGCTTCCACTTTCCAGCCGCGTCAGCCCCCGTTTTGTCCTTGCTCTTCTGTGAACCTCCAGCATCTCTTCAAGTGATCGTTTGGCTGGGTGACCAGGCACTGCTTCCGACCCCCCTGCAGTGACCATACTCCTGATTTGGGGTGCAAACCCATTTCCCTGCAGCCCCTACTACTTGGTACTGTTCTGCCCTTTGGGTGCTAAGGCTGCCTTTCAAGGATCATTTCAGTCTTTCATGCTGGTGGGTTCGAGGGTGCCCTTGGGTCAAGCCTAAAGATCTCACAGCTGCTCTGAGCCTAGCTCACACAGAGGGGCCCTGACCACTCAGGAAGGAAGACAACTCACAGAGTAACAGTTGATGAGGGCCGGGGGTGGGGGTGCTTACTGGAAGAGATGGAAGGGAGCCGGACCTCAGCGATTGGAGGGTGGGGCCGCGGCGTCAGGCAGCAGGGACAGGAAAGCAGAGGAGCACTGGGAAGGAGCACCTGCTGGGCTCGGTAGTAGGTGTGGGGGTGGGAGGGGCGGAGGCCACAGAAGCTGTGGGGAGTGGGTCGGCTTTAGTGGTGCAGAACTTGCTGGCTGAACCAGGCAGGCCTCTGACAGCCCTCCCTGCCCCCCAGGAGATCGACGGCAAGGCCCTGCTCCTGCTGCGCAGCGACATGATGATGAAGTACATGGGGCTGAAGCTGGGGCCCGCTCTCAAGCTCTCCTTCCACATTGACCGGCTGAAGCAGGGCAAGTTCTGAACCGAGAGAGGCAGCCTGGACACCTGTGGGATCCGCCACAGGGGGTCAGCATTCTCCCTGGAACGGGGAGCCAAGCAGCCCCCAGCTAGCGCCTCCATGGACTTCAGGGCCGCCTCAGGACTCCGGAGGCTGTGTGAGCCACCGCTGCTCCCCCTCCCTGCCATGATACGTCCTTCCATGAAGGACTGAGGAGGGGAGAGTGTGTGGCCCGGGGCTGGCGCTGCTCTTCCCCTCAGCCCGGCCTCGCCTCTGAGGTCCCTCCGTATTTATTTCTCAAGCCTGGTTGGCCTCTCACTGGGCGTTTAGACTGAACACCTTTCAGGTGATGGAGGAAGGGGCTGACCCCTGAGGCCTCAGAGGATAGGGCCCTGAACTGACACTTGGGCCCAGGCTCCCAGCCACCTGCTGGGCCCAGTGCGGCACCCCACTGCCCCCCAGCACCTGCCACCTCCTCACAAGAGCTTCAGACTCCAAACTCGTGGTGCAAACCTCTACCTTTTTTAAAAAAAGATCTTTTCTTATTGTTTAAATTTATTGTTTCTAGCACTAGGGCAGGCCCCCCAGTACATACTCCTCTCTCTCCAGACACTGGGTTTCGGGAAGAGAGAGTCTGTGCCGCCCTGGTCCCAGAGACGTTTAGGCCCTTTACAAGGACATCGCCCGAAGGCACTTTCTCTGTGAGGTGGACAGATCCTTCAAGCCTTGACCATATCACTCAGCATAGGGAGGACAGAGTTCCTGTCACATTCCCCTCTTCCTCCGCTGGGCCTTTTGTCGCCACGGGCCTCGTCTGTGGGAATGGGAGTCCCTTGTCCCACACTGCCCCCTACCACAGCTCCTTGCCTGGGCCGGGACTGCTGCCGAAGAAGGTTAGGCCCCGTGATTCTCGGCCACGAGGCTATAAGGTGGATGGGAGGAAAGGGTTTGCAGGCTGGAATCTGGTTGTACCCTCACCTGTCCAAACGCTTCCTTTATAAGCAAGTCAGCAGCACAGCGCCCCCGCTGCCATCTGGACTTCTTTTATGTCAATTTGTTTATAAATAAAAACCAATTTAGATGCCAGTGTGGTTTGAATCAGTCAACAGAGCACTGAACCTCCAGTGGCAGATCACTCCCCCTTTCTTGGCCCTAGTTTCCTCATCCTTAAAGGAGGCATGTAGACAGGGTGATCCCCAGGGGTTCTTCTGATTCCAGCAAACCCTAAAAAGCAGGCTGGCTGCCAGATGCCCACTGGGAAGGCGGTGTGGAGTCTGTTCTCTGCCCTCAGGGGGCAGTGCTCTGGTGCAGCGAGACAGGGAGCGCGGAAGCTGCGTGAAGCCCGAGCAGGAAGCAGTTTTTGGGTCAGCAGCCTCGAGAGCCACCATGGCTGGGTTCATCCTCGTCGCCGTCGTCATGGGGTGAGGGGAGACACGGGCTTGCCCAGCTTGTGCCTACCTGGAGCCAGACATGCCAGGCCAGGGCCCCCAGACTCGTCTCTGCTGGGGGAGGTGTGGGGACAGCAGCGGCGTGCAGGAAAATCTGTAATAACGGGCACTCTTGTGTCACTGTGGGCCCCATGAACTACTCCACGGGTATTAGAATCAGCTCATTAAATCTTCACAGCAAACCCATTTGATGGATGAGGACATGTAAGGTCATGGAAGACCTCACAGGAAGCACGAAAGCAGGCATTTGAAGCCAAGTGCTCTGACACCAAGGCCAAGGTGGAAGTTCTAGTCAGACTATTTATGGTGAGGCTTTGGGTGGGTCACTTCCCTTCTTTGGGCCCATGTGGCTCAGAGGGTTTCAGATGAGGAGACTTCTGAGCGTCCCACCAGCTCTCCCCTGGCTGCTGCCGCCATGGTGACTAAGGGATAACGTCCTTTGCACATGACCCCTGTGAGGTTCTCACCACGGCGCCCGTGATGCGGTCTGGGTCAGGGCTGCCCAACCAGAGCAGGGCTCGGTTCTCCACAGATTCCCGGACACTGGGCTGTGATGGGCTGTGCCGATCATTCACAGGACTCCCAAAGAGGGCCTTACGGAACCCTGACAATAAACCTCTGGATGTGATCCTTACCCAAGAGACAGACGCAGGGCCTGAAGGACCAGCACGCGGGGGCGGCCAGACCCGCAGCAGGGCTGCGCCTGTGGAGCCGGCCAGCATCCCCCTCAGCCACGCCCTCGTCACCAAGAGCATACAGTTGGCCAGCTTGCTTGTGCCGAGTTGTTTATGCGCATTTTCTCAGGCCAGCCTCACCCTAGTGGGAGAACTAAAGCTGGGAGAGAGTTGAGGTACTTGGCCCCAAACTCCATAGCTAATCCGGGGTGCCTGCAACACCCCCCAGGGGGCCTGCTCCCAGATCCTGCTGGCCGTCCAGACTCAAGACTTCCGCAGGCTCCCCCGGGCGGGGGTGGGGGGCATTCACTTTGACGGCTGTCAGGCAGAAACCCCTGCCCAGCAGACAGCATGAAAAGCCCCCCTCTTCAGTGGGGTAGTCCCTGCAGAGCCCACCGCCATCCATGGGACAGCTCGGGTGCAAGGGGATGGGACATATCAGGGAGCAGTGGGCTTCACCTTGGCTTCGCAGCAGCATGTCCTGAGGGAGCAATAACTCCCTGGTTCGTAGGCGTGATGACTCCGTAGGCGTGATGACTCCGTAGGCGTCGCTTCCGGGTCCCTACAAGGGCCACGCCCCATGGAGCCTGTGCACTAAGGAGGCCCAGAGCTGTGGCTTTTAAGCTATGTTCCTAGTCCTGATGATTCACAGCTCAGGTTCATCCTCACCATAAGCAACATTGCCTTGAAACACTTGACATTCCACTTTCATCTGTTTTCCAAGGGAACAGAACTAGAAAGGTAACCAAATGTCAGATTCTGTAGGAGGGGAAAGGATTCGTTACCCCTTCACTCTTACTGCCCTGACTCCTGGGGTCAGACCTGAATGTCTTCTCCGGAGGGGGGAAAAAAAACTTTTGAAATTATTTCCCACAGCCAAGCCTTCTCATAGTGACCCACAGTCATCCAGAGAAGCTGAAGGGGCCTCTGGCAGGCCCGAGAGCACCAGCCGCGGCGCAGGGGAGACCACTCTGTGAACCCCCACAGTCCAGCCCCCCACAAAATGGGAAGGCATCTGGGACTGGGGGACAGACACCCCCCGGCACCAGCTTCACATGCCCCACCCCCAGTACTGTGACAAGGAGAGGACATTGACTCCAGCGCTGAGAAACATCAGGGAAGCCCGCGTGCTTGAGGAGATGACAGAAGCATCCCGGCTCTACTTAGGTGCCACCGGCGATCTCTGCAGGCTGTGGCTCTGATGGTCCAGATGGACATGGTGTCTGTCCTCACACCGATGCCACCATCCCTCCTCAGGAAGAGCTGGAAGTTGGCCCCCGCCTCCTCCCCACAACCAAAACTAAAAACTTGGGAGAACCTTCATGCCTTAGCGAGCCCAGACACCCCTCTCCTCACCATCCCTCACCTTTTTGCAGCCTCCTTACCCCGACACCCCAGTCACCCCATTCATCAGGGAGGCTCCACAGCTGGAAACCTGCAGTCCAGGGACCATGACCACCAAGGGTCACAATTCCATTTATACCCCGCCTGCAACACGAAAGCCACTGAGGGTGCTTCCAGAAGCCCACAGCTGACAAGTCCCAGTGTAAAGACACTAGGCCCAAGACACCTGTGGGTGGCTGGGACTAGACCCAGGCAGAGGTCGGTGGGAATCAACAGGCAGATGCCCATAGGCCAGGGGCGGGCTCAAAACAGGCAGGAGCGCCATGGGGCCCAAATGGCAAAGGCAGCGTCCACACCACTTCACCCCAAGTTCCAGAGTTTGCCCTCCTGACCCCTCCCACACGAGGTCTGAGCTCAGTCCCCACCTCTGCCCCAGCACTCTGCTCCTCAGCTGGCCTCCCAGGGCAGTTCTCGCAGACATCCATCCTTGATGTGGTTTCAGGGATTGTGGCCACGTGAGGCCACAAAGTGGACATCCCTCTCCTCCCTCCTCTTTGGGTTCGCCTCACATTCTTAACTTTAAGTTCGAGAGTTGTTTCCCTCTGGTGCAAAGCAGAGTTTGTCAGGAAGGTCACAGACATCCAGTGAGGGGATAAAGGGACTGCTTACCCCCCGTAACACTGAGCCTGTGTCTGCCCCTGCCCAGCGGCCTGTTAGAAAGCCCGATGCCCTAAATAACCCAGTTACACTGCAGTACATTTCAGTATTTGAAATATTATTGTGTAAACGTATTTGGTGCCTTCCAGTGACCGTTTCCACCCCTCCCCACAGAAGGAAGGGGAACTAATGTGCATTTCAACATGTGCTGGTTATAGGTCCCAGGGACACATGCATTTCAGAGGTTTGAGGACACCCCCAATAGGAGTGGGAGGAGTGTGGGCGGTCAGATCAGCGTGAAAAGCCTGGTGCACAAGGCGGCCGGACAGCAAGGCCTCAAGAAGGGAGTCCTGTTCTCTGGGGGTGCTTACATGCCTGGTCTGTCGGGGCCCCTCTCCTGACCTGCCATTTCGGGGCAACTCAGCCCAACTGCACTCCACCTGTCTTCTTGGGCAGCTACAGCCCCCACGCCTTGGGGTAGTCCTGAAAGCGGGCCGTGATGGCCAGGGCTGGACAGGCCTGAAGAGGGGTGGGGGGAATGCATGGGGAGCTCGCAGCCCTCCTCCTCCTCACTGCCTCTCCCAGAGCTGCACACCCCAGTCCAGGCTCTCTCTGCCTTGTCCCTAAGGGCAACAAAACTCCCTTGGCCTCTGCAGGTTGGCTGCCCAGAGGAGGGGGCAGCCCCCACGGCCCAGCAGCTTCCCCAGCCTGAAGCATCTGCCTCTGCCCTTCCCTCCTCCCTCCCCGCCTCAGGACTTCCAGAAGGACCCGAGCTCCCTGCGTCTGCCTAAGGAAAGCATTTCTCCAAGCCCCCTCCCCCACCCAAGAACGGATTTCTGTGTTAACAAAGGCTGTGTATCACCCATGTGCCCGTCCCTGTCAAACAGCAGGCGACAGCCCTGTCCTTGAAAAGGGATGGCAGCTCTTGACTGAGCGCTCAGGGCTCCTCTGGCCAGCAACTTCCGTCGCGGGCACAGAGCCAGGCCTGCTGCCCGGGGCAGCCCCGAGTCCAGCCGTGTGTGCTCAGATTCATCCTGGGAGTGTCTGGGCTGTCAGTGCTTAGTGGAGCCTGGGTTTGGTGACCGAAGGGGAAGGCGGGGATTTGTGGCACCAGAGGCCTTGCATGGCCACGGGGGCCAGAAGAGACATTACAGAAGGAGGAAGTGTGTCCTTGGCCCCTGGACTCCGGAGCAGCCCCGAGGGAGCCACACAGCCAAGCTGTAGTGTGTGTCTCTACCTTGGGGTAGGAATAGGAATAGGATTGACTTCCCAGCCCTGGGCCTCAGCCCAGCCAAGAAGGCATTGTTGACTCCCGTGAGATCACAGAGGTGGTTGCACAGGCCCCGCCCACTTCTCCTGCAGCTTCTGTTCTCCTGCTGGGCCCCCAGGGGAACACCCCCCCACCCCCCCCACCCCCGCTCCAGGGAGCTGCTGGTCAAGGGTCAGGGGTCCGTGGGAGCTGAGGGCTGGCATCTCCCACGCTGTCCCAGCAACCATCAGGATATGAGGGTCACAGGCCTCCCTTTTCCTCCTGTTCCTGCTTGTCCGGAAGGCCCCCACCCCGGCCGCGGTGGTCCCCAGGCCCTGACTATCTCAAGGAGCCAATCTGAAAAGATGCAGGCCGGTGGTCGCTGCCCCACAGAGCGGAGGCCGGGTGTGTGGGGGTGAGTGGAGGGGCCGCTGGTTGCCAAGGGCACACAGTCAGGCATGAGGCCCCCGGCCCGGCGGAAGGGGGCGCACTAAAGGGCCCTGGCTTGGCACTTCCTCACTTCTGCTCTCTGGACTCTGTCTAGACCAGACCATGAGCCTCTTCATATTAGCTGTAGACGTACAAAGGCCATTTTTCTGGGGGAGGGGCCGAAGCCTCCATCTGTCAGGGGGCCTCCGCTCTAAAACCCTCCGGCCCAGCCCTGCCTGGTTCAAAGCCTCCGCTAGGCTTGCACCAGCTCGGACTGGGTGAAAA